TCCAGGCCCAGCTCCTGCCCTGCGATGGACCTGCTTGGCCCTGGCCCAGCCTGGCCACTGTGCAAGGCTTGGTGTGTTTGCATTGGTTTTGCTCCTTGTTACCCATCTGGAGAAATGGGGACAACCCCTGCCAGCCTTTCTGAGTATCATCGGAAAACCATGTGTATCCTTGTGCTGCTTGCCCCAGTAAAGTATTGGGCACAGAGCTGGGATTAGCCCAAAACATGTAAATGCATTAAAAATGGTGTCTCAGCCCCAGGCTTGCTTGCTCATTCTCGCACTGGCTCGCTTTCCTTGCTGGGCATCAAAGCACCCTCCATTCCTTGCAGAGCATTTGAGTCATCCTCAGCCCTGCCGGGATAAGAAACAAAACAAAGATACATGGAAGAGCTAGGAATCCCACATCTCCCCACATCCCAAGTCTTCTCTTGAGGTCCAATTGCTCAACCGCCTCCTTACAAAGGTCCCCTTGGACATGAAGACACAACGTCCTCCTGGACATCTTTACCCAAGCAAAACTTGTGAGCTTGCTGGGACACATCCTGGCAAACAGTAAACCCTATTCTGGAGGATGCAAACTGCTCCTGGCACTGCAGTGTGAGCTAGTGGCTTTTCAGTGGAGACCCTGGATCTTCAGCAAGCTGATCCAGCAGGATCCCAACAGTAGTTTAAGTCTGTCTGGGGATTTCAAACGCCATGTTTAATGCAAACCCCAGCGTCTCTCTGCCGTGTATGGTGGCGAACACAGAACACTCCCGGCCTTTCCTTCCCTCATCAGATGGGCACCAAATTAATTTGGAGGCAGGTTCCACACAAATGAGATGTGAAGAGTCTTTCCACGGCTACTGTTAATCTGTGGAGTGCTCTGCTGCAAGACACTGCAAATACTAGAAGTCTATGTGGGCGCAGAAAGGAATTGATCAAATTAATGGCAGCAAAATCTATCAGGTGACATAGAGGGAGCCACAAACTTGTGGAGGTACAAAAGGTGTTCCTGGAAGCGTGGCTGTGATTTTGCCATTTCCATACAGCCTTTGCAAGGCACACGGAATTAGCTACTGCTCAAGACAAGCCTGGGGTTTGACGGGTTCAGTCTGACCCAGAGAGCCGTTCTTACAGCTTCAAGATACAGCTGGGAGCACACGTACCTGCTGTGAGCCGAGGAAGAGGCTGTCCCCACAGCAGCTGCCCAAAGGCGATGCCTCCCCTGAGAAACAGGAGTGAAATTCAAGCAGCCAAGTGTGGCAGCCTGCGGCTGAGTGGCAGAAACCAGTGCAGCGCGTCCCCAACGTCAGCTGCCCTGAGGCACATGCTGGCACTGGAGAGGATAGGAAGGAACCGCAATTGTGTTCAACACACCCGGTTTGCTTTCGGCACACACAGGCAGATAATGATGGGCCCACGTGTCCTCTGTGGTATAAAAATGCTGCTATCAGTAAAACAGAAATACCACTTCCTTTCTCTCTACCCTTCGCCTGTCTTATCAGGTAGTGGGGAGGGTCTCGGTTTGCCGTGGGTTTGCAGGGTGGAAAGGGACGCCTGCTCCGAAACTGGGGCTGTTTGCATGGAAAGGCAGGAGGGAAGCGAGAAATTCCTTCCTGCCAGGAGCCCTGGAAGCAGCGCTGGGTCCTGGCCAACATCCACCCTCCTCACCCACATCCCCACTCCCTTTGGTCTTCCCAAAGGTCACTCTCCATTAGTCACTGCAGCTTTTTGTTTAGGAAATACCAGCTGGGATGTCCTGTCCCATATGAGCAGGGCTGACCATGGCCTCTGCCAAGCAACCACAATAGACCTTTCCCTGCAGCCCTCCAGGCCCGGCAAGTCTCCAAGAAACCTCTGGAGGAAAAGACAGACAGGCTCCAAGTGCCCGGGGCCAGGTTGCCTGCGTGCACTCAGCATCCCTCCTTTGCCTTTCCTTGTGGTTCTCCCCGGGGGCAGGGGTGTAGCACAGAGGGAAGGGGAGATGCACCCAACAGGGCAAAACTGCCTCTAAAGCTTTTGTGTTTTGAGAATATCTGGATGCATCACGGTAATATGTTAAAGCACGGGGCCAGAAGAAGCATTGCTTCTGCCCTTGAAATCAGGCACCTTCCCTGGGGACTCCAGCACCCAGCTGGCTGCACAGCACCACGGCAGGTGACAAAACAAGGGTGGTCTGTGGCAGCAGCAGGGGACAGGTCCCCGCTGTGGCCAAGGAGCAACGGAGGGGCTCATCCCCAGGACACGTGGGAAGAATGAGGCCTCACGCAAGCCAAAGCGGACAGCAAACGTCCCCCATGGCCTGTTCTGTCCCCAGCTGTGCGAGCAAGCTCCCTGCTGGCCCAAGACACTCCAAGGACTCAAAATGGCTCTGCCTGTAAAATGAGGATGATTTCAAGCCCACCTTTCAGCTGTGGTTGCAACATCCGACACGTACTTTGCTATTTCAGAGCAAACAGTATTTTATTATTATTGCTCTTGGAGTATTTCTGCTTCTGTAAACCCTGAAAGTTCAGCCACCACCCAGGCCTGGAGGTCCTAGGTGGGGCCACCATTACACAGCTAATGCTCAAGAAACTGGCTTAGTGTGGATTCCTGAGGCTTGTCGAAAAAAGCACATTCAGAGAATTTCCCCGTTCTGCAGCAACTCCCACTTCCTGCTTCACAGGAAACCCCAGCAGACAGGGAGTAAAAATCAAACGAGACTCACACACAACTGAAGCAGCGATAAGAAATTTGGTTCCGATCCATGCTGTGGAGAAACGCAATAAAACGCCAGCTTGAAGAAGCCAGAAGACTGAATATTTGCCAAGAAGCTAAAAATAAGCCAAAGAGGGCTATATTTAAAGGCACATACTAATAAATGCCCCTGTCCTTGATTAAATAAACTGCAACTTCCAGAAAAGCACTCTCTATTTTCCAGCAGTTTGGGGGGAGCTCTGGCAAGCAGGAGAATAAACATTAAGTCCAAAACTTTCAACACATTTTAAAACAACTACCTCGTGGCTGGAGCTGTGCCAGAGTCAGTGCCGTCCCTCCAACACCAGCAGCAAACTGGGGGCTTGTTGGACTGGAGCAGAAAGGATTTCCATTCCATCACCCTGTACAGGCCAGATGCTGCAGTTGCGCGTCCCCGTGTGGCTGCAGAAGCACCTTTACTTCAGTGATTGACTTCATTTTGCCTGTTTACATTCATTCCTTAGAAATAAATCATCCCTTCCACGTAAATGGGGATTAGAAGTTCCCACTACGTGGCAGCACGAGCATTTACGGTAGCACACAGCCACCTGCCCAGAGCAAGCCAGGGACCTGGGCAGAGGGGCCCTCCAAGTGCCCTCAGAAGGAGTATCTTAGCCACTCCAGCTGAGCCTTACAGAGTGACAATTACTTCTGCTCTGCATGATAACAACTCCAGCACCCTTACAAAGAAAGTGTTTGCACAGGGAAAACTGTCCAAGACCCCCTGGGTGAAAGGAAGCGTGCCAGAGCTCACTGAACAGCACTGTTGAACTTGACAAGTAACCCCTGTTAAAACTACATTACAAGAATACAGTGTATAAATAGAGCTCAGCCATGAATCATAGAAGGGCTATCTGGTCTGGTTAAACAAAGCATTATTTTAATTTCAAGATTTTATAAATACATATTTACAAAAGGAAGGTATCAATCCAAAGAGTTAAATGTACAGCTCCCAAGTATTGCTACAGTACAGGGAGAGAAATCATGTTAATACAATCCCACAATTTACAAATACCCATTATGCAAAGAGAAACCACATTCTTAATTTAAAATACCTCATCCAAAGTTTACAATATCCACTGCTGCGAAAGCACAATCTGCCTTGAACAGAATTACGTGACAAGAAGGAACTGACCCCTTTCATACAGCTTTTCACACAAAACACACCACTTCCTGCCATCTAAGTGAACACTGCCAGCCAACATTTCACGATCCTACAAAAGGCTTTTTTTCCAGCCCTCAGACCCCTTGGGGAGCACGGCTTAAGGACAGCATACTGCATGGATTCAAGAAACATAAACCCCTGTCAGTCCCGTTCCCTGCGACCCTGTGCTGAGGGGCTGGTGAGGAAACTGCAAACCGCATCACCCTACACCCTCCTGGCCAGAGAAGACGACCTGTGGCACCAAACGCATGCTACTGCGCGGCGCCGACATGACGCCAGATGGCATCACTTTAACAGCATTAGTCAGACAATGACCGCTCTCAGATTCACTCTGTCTCTGAAATTGTGCCTGCAACCTTCCTTGTAAACTCATTTTACTCTCGCTATGCTCTCCATACAGACACAGGCCTACAGGTAGAAGAGGGACTTCCCATAAATCCAGGGGTTTAAGATGTTACTGAGACCTCCAAGAATGCTTCAGATAAATAAAAGACCAGAGCTGCTCAGAAGTCACTTTCTGCAGTTTCCACGAGACTTCAATAATCGTCCCACTAAGCCAACAGCAACATTTCCTTTAGATGCCCTTCACTGCAACCACCTCAGCACCATTCAAATCACAGAATGAGAGAAATGCGGAGCCAAAAGTGTGCTATCTAAACTTCATAACAGAAGCAGCAATGACCTCCAAGAACAACACGCAGCAACGTCCACAACTGAAACTATTTGAGGCACCAACTACTGGAGGAGCTGGGGGAGTTCTTGGATAACAGAAGGCTCGGCTTGTGCATTGTTTTTCCAAAGAAGGATGTCCAGCAATTTTCTCTTAATTCATCCAGTAGTTCTAAACCTGTATGAGAGCCACCTAGGATATTTCTTAATTTAAAGTTTAAGCAAATTAATTCTAGTTAATCAAACTAAATAAAGAACTTAAAAACCAACTGCTAGTGGAAAATTGAATATAAGTTGCTAGGAGTGTTAACCTGAAGTCTTGCACAATTTATTTACTTCTTTTAATTCACACCTCATGTATGCAGCTCCCAAATCTCATGGTCAGAGCAATATTCTCTGTTGTTCATTACTGTGAATCCAGTCTGGCTTGAGGCTTCCACCATACTCAGGATGCAGTTTGGTCCTCTTTAGCCACAGTCTGCAGAAGGCAAGAAAGAAAAAAAAGAAAAGGAGTACAGGAGAACTATGTGACTCACTGCCATAATTCTGGGGCAAGACATTCACTTCTGCCAGAGACTGAGACTGGTCTGGGCCTTTGGTTAAGCACTGCAGTGGTAAAAGCATTCAGAAGCAAATCAAGCTACAGAAGAGGACAATCCTAGCACAGATTGCCAAGAAAGGTTTATCAATGTTTGAGCTTCTGATCACACTAATGACAGCAATGACTAATTCCAGCAAACATTTCTGAACCTGTGGCAGCCAAACCACCTGTCCCCAGAGTCATCTGCATAATACAGCCAGCCACAGTCAGGAAACCCGGTAAAAGCAGAAGTTGAATGACAGCCTAGAAGTGGAACAGGGGACTGTTGTGCATACTGCTGCAGGGACCTGTGGAAGGAAGAAAACCCAGCACTGGGGCAGAAAAGGACCTGTTGAGAAGAGCTGGTTGGAAGTGAGAAAGAATGTAACAGGCAGCGGCACCCCTTTCAGCTAAGAGCTACACATGCTGCAGCTGTGCATTGAAGCATGAGGACGAATGCAACATCCCTCCAGATGCATGGGTTTGTGGCTAGCACAACCTGAAGAGGAAGGAGTGCAATGAAAGGAGTAATTTAGCAATGCATTATCCAAGAGCAGCGGAGTTTATCAAAAGCTATTTCATTCTGTGACCACTTTCACTGAGTTCCTTATTTCCAATATACCAGCCATATCCCAGTAACTTCTATGGCACTTGTCCATGGCACCAGCAAATAATACAAGCTCACGAGACACTGCAAATGGAGCTTGATGCCAATAATTAGCAAGTTACTCTGACTTAACTAAGGGGGCTCAAATTCACAAGGAAGTAAGGTGTGAAGGGTCCCACTGTGGAACTCTAAACAACAACTTTTTCGTTCTTTCCTTTCATACCTAGGCAGGAGGAAAGTTCATGGACAGAAAGAAATATGACCGGAGGGTTTCCAAAACCCTGGAAATCTTACCTGCCGCAAGAACTGCTTTCCAAGATAGTTGGTCGCCATGCTCGTCAAGTTCTTTCTACTGCCAACTTTACACCTGATATAACCATAAAGGTTGGCTCCCTGAAGCACCACTCCCATCACAACCACTGCCTAAGTCACAGGAAAATAAAGTCACTAATTTGCAATGCCTTACTTGCAATGTGCAAGATCAATTACTGAATGAAGGAGTCAGCTCACCAGCCATTTCACTTTGAAAGAAAAGAGAGCGCTGAAAGCAAATATCACCCAGATCATAGGACAGGTAATTAGACCTAACCAGAAAATTCGGGACTCTGCTTCTGATGAGGTTTTACTCCCTTGCGCTGATACCTAGAAACAGAAAGGAAATGGAGATTAACAGGCTGCTCCATTGTATAGATCACATTGTCATTACAAACAGTCCAGAATCTACAAGCCCCTTGTTTTTTGCCTCCACACAACAGTACTGGGTACTTTCAAGATCAATTTCTACATCACATAAAGATCTTTCTGCAACAGAAGATGTTTCAATTTAGGGACCCTTTTGTCAATTTTCTGTCAGAAACAGTGGAGGCAGCAGCATCAAATCCTCTTGGAATGCTTTTGGGGCTAAAATGTTAAGTTTGGGAAACATGACATTTACTGTGTGGTTCAGTTACAAAGCTTAGAAACAGCCAAATGGGTAATGTTTTCTACCCAAAAATCACTGCACAGACAACCAGAATTACACTAATCCTAGCAATGGCAGAACTAAATATTGATACTCTTGGGCATCGAAGTAGGATAATTTTTTCTTTACACACACAAAGGTCTGATTCACAATCACTTTGTCCTATAATAGCTGAAAAATCTGGACTGGGTTAACAACTTATGGGTAAATTTACAGCATCACCAGCAGTTCAGCTACCTTCCCCCTGCCCTCCCCACGCAGTATGTTCTAGCTTTTCTAAACTAGCATGGTTTTGAGAAACAATGTGCCTGTAGTGAGTGCACAAACTCAGCTGAAGAAGGTTTAGGTTCAAGTCCCCACACCACCGCAGACCTCCCATGAGATCTAGGAAATAACCTTTATCTCACCCCAGATCTGCATGCTGTTAGCTCCATACAGAGAGAGATAAGAGGGAGGGATCAAAAGGGTAAATACGTGACATGTTGTGAGGTGCCTGACAGATGGGATACGAGAGAGATAGCAGTAGCCATCATGAACACAAAGTCAAAGCAATAACCATGACAAATGCTATACTTTTCTTCCTACTTCCAATAGTTTTCTATAGGAGATAAAGCTACGTCAGCTGTTCCAAGTTCACACCAGGAAACTTGTAGCTTACTGATGTGACATGGGAACCTTTACTGCGTTTTATGTGGAACTTTTAGGTTACTTACATTAAGCCAGATCAATACATCATGAGAATTTTTAAATAATTCAACAATCAAAAAGTTCATTCAGCAGCCTACATGAAACAAGCCCGTGGTTACAGATCTGTGGCTGGAAGTAAACATCTACATCATGCAATTTACCATCACAAGCATAACCACCAACTAATAGGGGTTTCATAAAACAGAAACAATTAAAAGAAAAAAAAAAAAATTTACCTTCCTGGCTTCAAATACCCAGTGACTTCTACCGTCATCATCCACCTGGTTCCACCAGCGAAGGCCAACCATCAATCGCCCTGTGACATTCTGAAATAGAAGAAAAGCAATGAGCTTTGTATCTTCTGCTAAAAGAAACCATTTGCCAAAGTTCAGCTGTTTGGGTTGCTATTTTCAACAGTGCTCATTTGCCTCACATTTGGGAAAACAAGATTACATGGCTCTTATGTCCACAAGAATCTATGTTCTGATGTGTCCAGTACAATAACAAATTACTGTAATAATGAAAAGCGAGGCATATTTCTGGTGATTCAAAAGTGATCTGATAACAAAGCCTGTGCTACCTTAAAAGAAAGTCTAATACAGGTTCTCCATTTGATTTTCAAAAAGAAGTCATGTACACAGAGACTTAGGAGTTATTATTTCATTAACACTTTGCAATACATCACAGTACTTGAGGGTATCTTGGGTATCATTTTGTTGGAAAGGCACAAAGAAGTTACTTTTTTTTGTGACATGAATATCACTCTCTTCAATTATTCTTATATAGTAAGACAAAAATAAGAAAAAACGTTAAGAGGAACTTACCTTTACAGCCCAAAAGTCACATGACAACAGGAGGATAATTGTCACCATGCAGGCAATAAAGCTGCTAGTTAAGAGCTCACAGAGCAGATAGACAACTATTGCACTGACTCGGAAGAATAAGTGGAAAAATGATGCCACTGGATGCCTGGAATGAAGTACAGTACAGTCACAGCTCTTTCAGACAAGACTGAAGCAACTTCAGAGAAATGACATTGCCAAGGCGATCTCCCACTAACTCACAGGATAACGATCAGCATCGTAACACAAACCCAGTGCAACAACTGCTGAAAATATGGGAAATAAACTAACTAGAAGCTCATCATAAGGAAGACACATTCTACGTGCAGCGATATCCCACATGCAGACAGAATTTGGGGTGGAAGGGGACAAGGACTTTTACCTCGTGTTCAATGTAAAGCAATTTTTATGGGGTAAATTTAAAAATGTTGACAGAGGAAATACCTCTGAAGGAAAGATGACATTTCTCAACACAGCAGACTTGCCCTTCTTTCTGATTTCTGCAGTTTCCAGGTCAGAAACGTGCAGTGCAGAGCCAGGGTCGCCACAGCACCTGTGTATGGACGCTGCTCTGCGGCAGGAGTTTGGGCAGAAGAAGGAAGGAGGCGGCTGAACCAACTACGCCAGGACATAGCAGGCAGCAGGGCAGCACCAAACACACTTGAGAACAAAGACTGGGGAAGAGATAACGGACTAGCCCAGAACTAGCACTCAACACAGTGAGAACCTCCCATTACACAGAGTCATTGCAGCAGTGTGGACCCCTTACATACAGAAAGACAAACACACATTAAACGTGAGGGCACCTAGAGGCATAAGGGCACAGATCTACAAATTCCAGCTGAGCTTCTCAAACTGGCACTCTCAGTTTTCTAGAAGTCACTCTCCATTACCTCTAACCAAATAAAGAAAGTATTTGCCATTGCATATTTTGATGTAATATGGCAGTCCTTCCTTCCTCAGGCTTCTGCCCAGAACTCATCTAGAAACTCTCTCTATGGCCACTGACCTTATTTTTGACTTTTTTGATCTCCTGGATACATCATCATCTGCATCAAAGAGAGATACATCCTCAATGTCATTGTTGCTGTCCTAAAGCAGGGAACAGATGCAACGTTACATCAGAAAAAAGAATCTGTTTTCAACTTCAAGCAGGGACAGTTTTGGTTACCCAGAATGTTATAGATGACCTTTAAAGGTCCCTTCCAACCCAAAATATTCTATGATTTTACGATGGCACCTTAAGATCAAAATTAATTTGGGAAGAACATGAAGATTTAATCACATACAAAAGAAAAAAATGCAGTAATTGGATTCTGTTCTATATTTTGATTTGTGAGACTTAAATAAACTCACAGTATGAACCCAAGGCTCCTTTATGCACCCAGTTAACTACACAGCCTACTCTAGGGCCCTTTATTCTGCATTCCTCTTGGAGAACTTACTCCCTTGTACAAAAGCTATCCCTATGTCAGGCAACAGGTTCACATCCTCCTGCATTTTGGTGAATATACCGGTGACGGATTCAGAATTGGTTATTTCTACAGACAGGGCACATCCCTGTTGCAGACCCTACAGAAACGTGACACCAACGGCACCAGAGCTGCCCAGGGTTCTCAACCAGAAACCCCTTTCCGTAAGCCCAACGCTGCCTCAAGGGCTTCCAGCCGGCGCGCCGACGAGCAGCGCGACGGAACATCAAGCTGCTCCGGCCCCCGGGTTTTTGACGGATCCGGGCTCGATTCCGAGGGGGTTCTGCGGTGTTCCAGGTCCCCTGGCAACGCAGCCCCGGAGGCTACAGGCCCCTGGCAGCAGAAAGCGCCCATCAGCTCGCACCCCCGTCACCGGGCGCTGCCGCAGCG